AAAAAGCTTTCTTAAAGGGACTTAATTTAAGATTTGTTTTGTTGACGTTTTCTTTTCCTTAAGCTCTCAGGGGCACAACTGTCCTAAATCAGGAAGCYGGTGGATCTGTCTGAAGGCTCAGAGAAATTGATTTGTTTATGTTAATCCTGGACCTCTGATGTCGACGACCTGTCACAGGAACCCATCGCTGAGAGTTTGGCTTCGGAGGCAGCGGGAGTGACGATCGGCTGCGTTTATTTGAGGGCAGCCTCTGAGCCTGGATCTATCAAAGTGATTACATTTATTTAGATGAGTTTATTTAGCTGTGTTGTACTGTACCATATACAAGTATGCAAGTGTTACCATCTCTGTGTGTTTATTTGTACCATTAGCAAACTATCTCAGACAGCTAAATTAATTTGAATTAAACATGTTAGCTGTGCTAGCATCGTTGGTGGTTGCTTTTGTTGCATCTAAGACGTCTAACGCTGCTAAAGATGGCATTTAAATTTTTWAAAGTGTTCATTGAAAACGATATGGAGGGTAGTTGTGGTCCAGCAGTTTGAAGTGCAGCTCGGACACCAACCACAACTGCAAGTTTGATGTCTTGGAGGTGTTAGCAGCATTCGCAGCGTTAGCAGCATTGGTCGCTATGCTATTGTCTCAGGAAGATGACATCATAATAAGAGACGAYCACCAACAGAAAAGGCTGCGTTCCCTGGAAATGGACTTGGTTACTCCCAAAGAAATACCTAATATGTAATAAAACAAGAGAAATTTCCTACAAAATCAGTCACAATTGCTATCCAGTTAAAACATTTTTCATAATAAAGGATATAAATGGGAGTTGGATCCTATGTGTAGTTTTTGCAAAAATCATGAAGAAAATATTGTTCATTTGTTTTGAGATTGTTGTTATACCACAATTTTCTGGAATGATATTTCTTTTTTTTATCAAAAGAATTTGGATATTACTTTAACAAATAACCATGTTTTATTTGGCATGGAAAAATGTGACCTGGTCAAATCTGACTTTCTACATTATGTTATGTTATGTAAATATCATATTCACACCTCCAAACATTTACAACATAAGCTTAATTTCCAGATTTTTTTTAAATCTTCTATCAATATTTACATAGAATCCTTAAAATTAAACTCAAATGCCATTCAAAATATAACTGCCCTTGAAAAACTGCAACCCTCGAGCACTGATTTGATTTTAACATAGTGAAAGGAGGAGCTACTAAATACTGAGGTAAGGTTTTTTTTATGGTGCCCAAATTTATGCACCTGTCTAATTTTGTTTAAATAATTATTGCACACTTTCTATAAATCGTGTCAACTTCATTTCACTTCTCAAATATCACTGTGTTTGTCCCCTATGTCAGTGGTTCCCAAACTTTTTATCTTCTGACCCACAAAATATCCATGYCAAAAACTTGTGACCCCAAATATTACTGGTTTGAGTACACGAACTTTGTTAATAACCCTAAAAACACAGGCTTTTTGACAATCTAAACAGCTTGTACACAAATATAAACACTTATTTTTACTTATTTTGTGTTTTTGTAATAGTTAGGGGGGAAATATTACATCAGTAATTATTTTATTGCCCTTTAAATTAATTTCTGGAGATTATCCAAGGTGCTTCATGACCCATAATTGGGTCCCAAGTCCAAATTTGGGAACCAAAGTGCAGTGGTTCCCAAACTTTTCAAGTTTTGACCCACAAAATAACAGTAACAGAGACCTGTGCCCCCAACTATTTTTGGACGATAAACATTTGTATCAGGTCAACTAAACAATAGTTAATATTAAAAGTAACAATATTTTTTATACTACATTTATCCATTTTAAATTCACTAACCTCACTCCTTTGTAACAACTAAGGCAAAAAATCTAATTAATTCTGAAAATCTTTTCAGGACCCCATCTTGATTTTTCGGGACCCCACTTTGGGTCCCGACCCCAACTTTGGGAAACACTGCCCTATATGATATATTTAACTGATATTTTTYATCCAAACAATCAATGATGTATAAAGGTAAATCAGGAAAATTAACAAGGCTGCCCATATGTGTTTTGTAATACCATTGGAAGTTGTATGTGTGTATTTATGTTCTTTTTGTTCATGTTTGTTCCTTGTTTGCAATAAAGTTGAAATAATAGGCTGCATTCCATTTCAAAACACTTAAATGTAAACTTGAACAGCTGCAACATTTAAAAAGTAACTTTTACATTTAGATTTAGGATTTATTATTTATCAATTATATTTTATGTTTAGTAAAGATTTGCAAAATGTAYGAACAGTGAGCAAATAATAAAATGTTAGTGGACATTAAGGAGTTTAAACTCAGAAAGTGAACAAAATAGTGAATATTACATTTTTTCACATTTTATTTTACACTTGCGCCTCATGTCTAATCAAATCGTAAAATCACAAAAATGGTTCAACCTCAATCAATTTTACAGATATTGAGCTAAAATTTGGTGAGTTAGTAGCTGAGCATGATCTCCAACATGTAATTTGAGCTTAACACATTGTGCTCCATCCTTGCCTGAAGCCTTGGCATCATCTGTTGGAGCTAATTTGAATATGAAACCCTGGCTTGAAAGGTTTCAGGGGATATGCAATCCTTTAAGGGTTTTCATTTTGTTTATGAAAAACCCTGTGGTCTTATTAAAAAAAAGTAAGTGATGTCTCGTCTATGAGCAGCTCCGAGGCGGTGATATCAAAAAGACAAAAGCTGTAATTCTGAACACAATGAAGACGATAACGCAGCAACGCGAGGCGGCTGAAAACAACAGGATTAAAGTTTAAATGACTCATTTGCAAAGACAAGCTATAAACCAGTCTTCAGCCATGTTATCTGTGTCTGAGGGCATAGAATGCAAAATCCACCATGCATAATTTATTAGTGTTATATTAAAAGTAATATATGCATGCTTCCTATTTGCCTATTAAGAACTGAGGAGCTGATTAAACTCTTTGTTTCTGACATGTCACGTTTGTGGAAAAAAGACAAAAAAACGTGGCAACTTTTGGTGTGTTCATTTTTTACCACATGGCAATCCAAAGGGTTATATTAAATCATGATTTTAGTATATTAATTTTTTTTTTCAGATATAAATAACCTGATGAATCTTGCTGGTGTTTGTGGAACACGTAACGGTGCACACGTGCTGCAACATTTAAAGTACTAAAGTTCTAAATGCAAAACCACCTGGCAATCATACCCTACTTAGTACTCTGCGCTGTCGATGAAATGGTGAGCGAGTAAACAAGTGTGCATTCTGAACTCTGGTCAGGTGTGAAGGAAAAACCAGAGAAGACTGACTGGAATGGACAAGTAAACAAACTTCACAAAATAACATCAGCAAGCCACGCTGACGGATTAATAACTCCAAGTTTGTGCCTCCTAATCACACATGTTTCCTTATCTTCATCCACTGAGGCCTTCACAACTTCTCTYTTTCCTCTTTTAGCTCTTAGTTTTTTTCTCAGGCTCTCCGGGAGGTTGGTGCAGACATGTCAAAAAAAAGATGCTTGTTTTTTTTTTTTTTTTGGTCAAAGTTGTATAACTTTCCCCAATGCTGGAGCCCATATTTGTTGGCCATCATTTCAGACTCTATGATATTCTTTGATTCGGTGCGTTTTGCATTAAACAGATGTGGGGTACGTTACTTAAAAGTTTGGGTACTGTACTTTTAAAATTGTAGATACTAAAACAAAATGTGTAACAATCATACCTCACATATACAGTGGGTCAAATAAGTAGTGAACATGTCAACATTTTTCTCAGTAAATATATTACTAG